TGCCTAGTATTTGAGTGAAAACAGTATGAAAGCTGCCATGGTGGTATTACAGGAAGAGTTATTAGTGCTATTGACCTGAGGAAGGAGACCTACTGGAATAGGGCTATAAAACAGTGTTTTGTTTATTAAGACCTGGTTGAAATCAGGGTGATACGGGCAGACTGAAGTCAATCTAAAGGTCTGAGGTTCACAGTAAAAAGTATAAAAGCCACTAAACATAATGTAATAGACGTCTTTCAAAACCATAGCTTACAGACAGCATGTAGGCTTGGCCTGAAACCATGGAACCATGTGACGTGAGACAGTGACATGACTGGAATGTTGAGTGTAGAATAGAATCTAATTTGCATTTTATTGCATGACATAAGTATTTGATACATCAGAAAAGCAGAACTTAATATTTGGTACAGAAAACTGTGTTTGCAATTACAGAGAACATATGTTTCCTGTAGGTCTTGACCAGATTTGCACACACTGCAGCAGGGATTTTGGCCCACTCCTCCACACAGACCTTCTCCACATCCTTCAGGTTTCGGGGCTGTCGCTGGGCAATACGGACTTTCAGCTCCCTCCAAAGATTTTCTATTGGGTTCAGGTCTGGAGACTGGCTAGGCCACTCCAGGACCTTGAGATGCTTCTTACGGAGCCACTCCTTAGTTGCCCTGGCTGTGTGTTTCGGGTCGTTGTCATGCTGGAAGACCCAACCACGACCCATCTTCAATGCTCTTACTGAGGGAAGGAGGTTGTTGGCCAAGATCTCGCGATACATGGCCCCATCCATCCTCCCCTCAATACGGTGCAGTCGTCCTGTCCCCTTTGCAGAAAAGCATCCCCAAAGAATGATGTTTCCACCTCCATGCTTCACGGTTGGGATGGTGTTCTTGGGGTTGTACTCATCCTTCTTCTTCCTCCAAACACGGCGAGTGGAGTTTAGACCAAAAAGCTCTATTTTTGTCTCATCAGACCACATGACCTTCTCCCATTCCTCCTCTGGATCATCCAGATGGTCATTGGCAAACTTCAGACGGGCCTGGACATGCGCTGGCTTGAGCAGGACCTTGCGTGCGCTGCAGGATTTTAATCCATGACGGCGTAGTGTGTTACTAATGGTTTTCTTTGAGACTGTGGTCCCAGCTCTCTTCAGGTCATTGACCAGGTCCTGCCGTGTAGTTCTGGGCTGATCCCTCACCTTCCTCATGATCATTGATGCCCCACGAGGTGAGATCTTGCATGGAGCCCCAGACCGAGGGTGATTGACCGTCATCTTGAACTTCTTCCATTTTCTAATAATTGCGCCAACAGTTGTTGCCTTCTCACCAAGCTGCTTGCCTATTGTCCTGTAGCCCATCCCAGCCTTGTGCAGGTCTACAATTTTATCCCTGATGTCCTTACACAGCTCTCTGGTCTTGGCCATTGTGGAGAGGTTGGAGTCTGTTTGATTGAGTGTGTGGACAGGTGTCTTTTATACAGGTAACGAGTTCAAACAGGTGCAGTTAATACAGGTAATGAGTGGAGAACAGGAGGGCTTCTTAAAGAAAAACTAACAGGTCTGTGAGAGCCGGAATTCTTACTGGTTGGTAGGTGATCAAATACTTATTTTTACATTTTAAGTCATTTAGCAGACGCTCTTATCCAGAGCGACTTACAGTTAGTGAATACATATTTTTTATTTTTTTATACTGGCCCCCCGTGGGAATCGAACCCACAACCCTGGCATTGCAAACGCCATGCTCTATCAACTGAGCTACATCCCTGCCGGCCATTCCCTCCCCTACACTGGGCCAATTGTGCGCCGCCCATGAGTCTCCCGGTCGCGGCCGGCTGCGACAGAGCCTGGATTCGAACCAGGATCTAGTGGCACAGTTAGCACTGCGATGCAGTGCCTTAGACCACTGCGCCACTCAGGATTGAGTGATTGGTAGGTCTGCATCTATTGTGAAAATAAATCTGCCTAGCTAACAATGTGCTTAAAAATACTCCTATTGAATCCCAACAATGGAAAAAAAACATGACAAGTCTTCAACATGTTTCGATTTCCTGGATCACACACCTCTCCGCAAAAACTCTCTTCTCAAAAATCTGTCCTTTAAGACAATTCCTAATGGTAAAAGTAAAGTATGCTATAATTCATTAAAACTATTACCTAACTATAGCCTGCTACCAGGAACCAGTCCCTGAACGGGTACAGACAAAATAACATAAAACATTTTCTACCAAGGTTACTTCTAGAAAAGTGTTGTGAAATGAAAATAAACATAAAATGATAAAATGATCTTATAGTCAGTAATGCCCAGGGCTGTTGGACATGCCGACAAAATGGCCTTCCTCTGTTTGTGTTTTTACTAACATCGCAGTGCTCTATATTCCAACTCCCGCTATAATTCTCAAATACTAAGGTGGATTTTTTTTTATTGAAGATCTGATTCACCAGCTGAAAGCTACATCTCATTTTGTCCAAAGGGTCTTTGACAATCACTGTAATGTCACTGAAATTTCGGCTTTGATTCTTCTATCATCAAAATAACACCACATAAGTGTCTGTATTTTGAATTAGGCCTGATTAATACACATCTAATCAGCCCTTGTAAATAACCAACATGAACAGAAAGGTTAACGTAGGGCTTTCTCTTAAGGCTCAACAGTTGAGAACTCAACCAACACAGTTACTGGCCTCTGAGAACAAATTCAAAACACATGAACGTTTCCTTATTAACACCTCTCCATTGGTTGCCTGATCAAGGAGACCATGTCCTATTCGATGATTGGTGCAGAGCGATCGTTGGTCACCGTGTTTCTGAGTCGGATATGGGCAAATGGGTTGGTCCAGGTTGGTGAGGGTGGAGGAGAGGCGAAGTCTGATGAGAGCTCTTGCATCAGCATTGTCAGCATATGTCATGCAATAAAATGCAAATTAATTACTTAAAAATCATACAATGTGATTTTCTGGATTTTTGTTTTAGATTCCGTCTCTCACAGTGAAGTGTACCTATGATACAAATTACAGACCTCTACATGCTTTGTAAGTAGGAAACCGCAAAATCGGCAGTGTATCAAATACTTGTTCTCCCACTGTATGTAGACAGTGACATGACTGGAATGTTGAGTGTTGAAATATAATCTAATTTGCATTTTATTGCATGACATAAGTATTTGATACATCAGAAAAGCAGAACTTAATATTTGGTACAGAAAACTGTGTTTGCAATTACAGAGAACATTCGTTTCCTGTAGGTCTTGACCAGGTTTGCACACACTGCAGCAGGGATTTTGGCCCACTCCTCCACACAGACCTTCTCCACATCCTTCAGGTTTCGGGGCTGTCGCTGGGCAATACGGACTTTCAGCTCCCTCCAAAGATTTTCTATTGGGTTCAGATCTGGAGACTGGCTAGGCCACTCCAGGACCTTGAGATGCTTCTTACGGAGCCACTCCTTAGTTGCCCAACCACGACCCATCTTCAATGCTCTTACTGAGGGAAGGAGGTTGTTGGCCAAGATCTCGCGATACATGGCCCCATCCATCCTCCCCTCAATACGGTGCAGTCGTCCTGTCCCCTTTGCAGAAAAGCATCCCCAAAGAATGATGTTTCCACCTCCATGCTTCACGGTTGGGATGGTGTTCTTGGGGTTGTACTCATCCTTCTTCTTCCTCCAAACACGGCGAGTGGAGTTTAGACCAAAAAGCTCTATTTTTGTCTCATCAGACCACATGACCTTCTCCCATTCCTCCTCTGGATCATCCAGATGGTCATTGGCAAACTTCAGACGGGCCTGGACATGCGCTGGCTTGAGCAGGACCTTGCGTGCGCTGCAGGATTTTAATCCATGACGGCGTAGTGTGTTACTAATGGTTTTCTTTGAGACTGTGGTCCCAGCTCTCTTCAGGTCATTGACCAGGTCCTGCCGTGTAGTTCTGGGCTGATCCCTCACCTTCCTCATGATCATTGATGCCCCACGAGGTGAGATCTTGCATGGAGCCCCAGACCGAGGGTGATTGACCGTCATCTTGAACTTCTTCCATTTTCTAATAATTGCGCCAACAGTTGTTGCCTTCTCACCAAGCTGCTTGCCTATTGTCCTGTAGCCCATCCCAGCCTTGTGCAGGTCTACAATTGTATCCCTGATGTCCTTACACAGCTCTCTGGTCTTGGCCATTGTGGAGAGGTTGGAGTCTGTTTGATTGAGTGTGTGGACAGGTGTCTTTTATACAGGTAACGAGTTCAAACAGGTGCAGTTAATACAGGTAAGACATTAAAGAAGTGTACCTATGTACAATTACATTAAATGCAAATTAATTACTTAAAAATCATACAATGGTGATTTTCTGGATTTTGTTTTAGATTCCGTCTCTCACAGTTGAAGTGTACCTATGATACAAATTACAGACCTCTACATGCTTTGTAAGTAGGAAAACCTGCAAAATCGGCAGTGTATCAAATACTTGTTCTCCCCACTGTATGTAGATTTTGAATATTATTTTGACTATTCAAAGCAAGTCAAATGTTGGAGTCCTAGAGTTACATGAGCATAATCATTGCTTTCATTCAATTATTACTTGTGGTCTCTTTCCTTCCTCTACATATTAGGCTACTGTGTGAACGGTATTTGATCATAATCTTTGACAAATAACTTCTCATGTCTTGTTTATAGTACTTTGCATGCTCATAATGTGTTAAATAGTTAAGTGTGTGTTAAAGAGTGTATAAATGTGTTAATTTTGTGGTTAATTTGCCATGTTGTAAATCACTTTCATTCAATCAAAGCAACAGTTTTGCCTGTAGTAAGTAAGACAAGCTCAAGTATGCTTTAGAAAATTCTCGTTATGATCACATCTTTGCATTTACATTTGACTTTGAGAAGTAAAACATTTTAGGGATGAACTGGTTGCAGATCTCAGATATCAGTAGGTAAATATGTAGGTAAAGTTACAGGAAAGGGCAAAACAGGGTAAAACACCAGCAAGGCATGGGATTCAAGACAGCAGGCTGAGCATGTAGAAAGATGGGCAGTGAGGGAACCAGCAAGGCAGGTGGGACAACACAGGTAGGAGACTGGATTACTGGGTAGATCACTGGGTATGGTGACTCACTCTGTCATTCTCTCATAGGCCTCCTGTAGCTCAGTTGGTAGAGCATGGCGCTTGCAACGCCAGGGTTGTGGGTTCGTTTCCCACGGGGGGCCAGTATGAAAAATGTATGCACTCACTAACTGTAAGTCGATCTGGATAAGAGCCTCTGCTAAATGACTAAAATGTAAATGTAAAAAAATTATCTCACTCTCCTCTCTCTCGCCCTCTCCCTCTGTCTCCCACCTCACTCTATTCTCTCTCTCGCTCTCTCTGTCTACCCTCTGTCTCCCACCTCTCGCTCTCTGTCGGTCTTCCCACTCTCTCCTCTCCCTCTGTCTCCCACCTCACTCTCTTCTCTCCCTCTGTCTCCCTCCTCTCTCTCTCCCCCTCTCCCTCCCACCTCACTCTCTATTTCTCTGGCTCCCACCTCACTCTCTCTGCTCCCTCTGTCTCCCACTTCACTCTCTCCTCTACCTCCCTCTGTCTCCCACCTCACTCTCTATTTCTCTCTCCAGATGAAGGACAGATTCTGCCAACTGCAGGATGTGTTGGATGAGCCCGGAGGAGGAGGATGCTATACCAACGAGACCTTCACCACTGTGGACCTGGACGATCTGTCTGCCCATACGGGCTTTGACCAGGCAGCAGCGACCCCTGACCCCTGACCTGAACAGCATGCTCCAGGAGGCCCAGCACGTCCAACAGGAGGTCCAACAGATCCAGGAAGACCATGGCCAGCTCCTGGACCAGAACTACCATGCCTTGAACAACACATTGTCGGACGACACCCGTGAACAGGGACGCAAACGGCATCGCAGCAGACATCAAAGCCAGAAGAGAGGCCTTCTTAGAGAGACTACACAGGATAAACAGGGTTCAGCGAGGTAGCAGTGACCACGTGGTAAGCTTCGCCCGGACACAGTATACCAACCTGAGCACAGCCTTCAGGGAGGTGATGTTCAGCTACAGCCAGATGGAGCTGGGGCACAGGGAGAACTGTAAGAGACAGATGAATATTGAATATCTTCAATGCCCTGGCTGATGGGAAAACGGCCCAGACGGCGCTGACGCAGATCGCTAATAGACACAAAGAGCTGCTGGACCTGGAAAAGAGGATCCAGGGAGTTCAGGAGTTGTTTCTGAATGTGGCTGTGCTGAAAGAGGAACAGGGAGCGGTGCTCAACAACACCAAGACCAACGTACAAAAGACAGAGGCAACTATGGAGGGCGCCAGGGTTCAACTGGACAAAGCCAAGAGACATGACAAGAACAATCCCATCAAGAAACTGTTCTGTGGCTGCTTTCCATGTTACAAATGATTGTATATCTGATACATTGTGTATGTGATACATTGAGTATCTTGATTTGAACGTAAATAATACATTTATTTAAGAAAGCACACTTAAAAACAGCTTTGCACTGTCTGCAATGGGACTGGGAGGTACTGTAGGTCTTCAAATAAGGCCAGGTACGCATAAACAACATACAGAACCATTCCAAAGCATCAAAAATCAGCTCATGATCTGTCTCAAGATATCTACCCATAGTACAAGCAGTTATTGGAAACAAACATAATAATTCTGAGACTGGAAGTGGCTCTGGAAATCACACTGTGGTGCGTAGAAATAGTAAGCATGCCTTCATTGAAAATGTGCAAGCACTACCTATAGCGCACAGTTTGTTCCACCAAGCTCATTGAAATATATAAGAGAGGTATAAAGTACAAAAACAATAATTAAATCGCTGTTTCCGGTGACATAAAACAACCACGAGGTGAAGTGACAAACGTCAATAATGTTTCGAAAGTTTTCTATATTAAAACGTCATCATGTCCTTCCGCTTGTTGCCATGAATGAGCATCGGTGGGGAACTCCCTCCAAGGGGTGCATTCACTAGGAATCAAACGTAACCAAACGGGCCGGAAAGGGGCGGGAGCTACCTGAATTTGTTCAATAAGAAACGGTTTGCTACGGTTTGCTACAGTTTGCACTAATGAATATACCCCATAAATTAGGTAGCGGGCTGGTTCCTGGCAGACAGAGCTAGAAGACTACACGGAGCATAAAGGGGAAATGATTCTCCGAGCGTTTGTCTGTTCTGTTTGAATGATTTTGTTCTTATTGGGCAGTCTACGGAGCAGATATCAGGTAATGTTTTTTTCTATTTAAGTTTAACGTTGATTCAGGCCTGTTGTAATGTTATCATAGAAGTACGCACGTTTGTGATGAGATGCGTTTTGCTCAGCGAGTTGAGTTTGGGTTGTTGTGAGCGAGTGATATTGTGGGCTGATTTATTTAATTTCAATGTTAATTATTCCTTACATGTAATGTCTCTCTGTTACAATAAATAATGTCGCCAATATTGGTGTGTAAGCTACCTCCCCATGTGCTTTGGCCAGACACTTTTGCCATGTTGTTCTGTTTGGGCACAGACATAAACTTTACATTTACAGAAACTACATACAGTAATTTTACATTCTCTGTTGTACTGTAACAGTAAAACACATGTAGCAACATGAAAGAGGTTATAGAGAGCTGATTAGTCATAACCTACGCCTATAATTAAATGCCTGTAAAGGGTTAAAGGGAGGTAAAGAAACACCACACATTTGATCATCCATGTCTTTCAGTGATCAAATTGTTGTGAATAGATATCCTGTGAGTCATTGGCCTGGAATCTAATAATAACTAACTGATGTGTGTAATAGGAATCGTCATCACCGCCCAGTGTATGTTGGCAGTGTTCTATTGGTTTTAGGGATGAGATCCTTACTGTCTGCTCGGAGGAAATGGGTGTCATTTCATTTCCTCTTATAGAATGGTGTTAATAGCCTCAATAGAAATGGTCCATGTTTTCTCTGTTTGAATCAGAAATATACTGCACTTACAGTTTATGTAGCTAGCTTTTTGAGGCAACAAAATATCAACTTTTGCTGAAGTTTCTTGTATGACCATAAAGAATTAACTGGACTGCTCGGGTAGGATTTTGCATTACGACAGGGTTCTTCAATTCCGGTCCTGAAGGGCCGAAACACTTCTGTTTTTTATTTCTACCTGGTAGTTAATTGCACTCACCTGGTGTCCCAGGTCTGAATTAGCCCCTGATTAGAAGGAAAGGATGAAAAACAGGTGTTTCGGCCCTCCAGGACCGGAATTGAAGAACCCTGCACTACAATATAAATAGGATGGTGATCAGGAGATGACCTCATGAACATACAGTAACCCTCAAACCTTTTCCTCCCATTCCAGGTAGGATGAGAGACAGACTACTTGACCTGCAGGGGGTGGCCCCCGCTCCTCCAGACACGGACGAAAGGGGTCAGGGCAGCGATGATGAGGGAGAGCTGGAGCAGCAGTCGGTGGTGTTCGAAAACGAAGATCGGATGGACAGCATCTTCAGAGAAGCCCAGTCCGTGAGGAAGGAGATCGCTCTGCTCCGGATGGACGTGAAGCGACTGGGCAAGCAGAACACCCGATTCCTCACCTCTGTCCGGCGGATCAGCTCCATCAAACGAGACTCCAACACCCTGGCCAGGGGCATCAAGACCCGGGGGGAGGGCATCTACACACGGCTGGAGAAAATCGGCGTGCAGCACAAACAGCTGGAAGAAGAGCATGGGGCCAATTCTGCCCTGGTCCGCTTGGTGCGTTCTCAGTATGTTTCTCTCACCGGGGCTTTCCACGAGGCCATGTCTGAGTACAACCAAGCAGAGATGAGCCAGAGGGAGAACTGCAAGACCCGGATCCAGCGCCAGGCAGAGATCATGGGCAAGGAGGTGACAGGCGAGCAGATCGAGGAGATGGTCGAGACAGGGAAGTGGAACGTGTTCTCCGACAACCTCCTGACAGACGGGCGGACGGCACGCTCGGCGCTCACGGAGATCGAAAAGCGGCACAAGGAGCTGGTGGAGCTGGAGAGTCGGATCAAGGACATCCATGAGCTGTTCTTTCAGATGGCTCTGCTGGTGGAGGAACAGGGGGCCATGGTGGACAACATAGAGGCCAACGTGGTCGCCACTACAGACTTTGTGGGCAAGGCCCAGGCTCAGATCAAGAGGGCTGTGAAGTACCAGAAGAAGAACCTCTGTAGGAAAATGTTCTGTTGTTGTTTCCCTTGCTGCAACAAGTGAGACCGACAGAGTGTTATTGTTGTATTTCAAGTCAAGATCCTACTCTCTTAGAAAAAAGGGGGTTCCCAAAGGGTTCTTCGGCTGTCCCCATAGGAGAACCCTTTTTGGTTCCAGGTAGAACCCTCTGTGGAAAGGGTTCTGCATGGAACCCAAACGGGTTCTACCTGGAACCAAAAAGGGTTCTTTAAAGGGTTTACCTATGGGTACAGCTGAATAACCCTTTTTAGGTTCTAGATGGCACCTTTTTTTCTAAGTGTAGGCTACCTTTTCCTATCAAGTGTTTTCATGGCCATGAAAATGTACTTGAAAAAGTTTATGTAAACAATTTGCACTTGTTTACACAATGGGCAAGACAAAATATTGAAGTGCCTTTGAAAAGGGTATGGTAGTAGGTGCCAGGCACACCGGTTTGAGTGTGTCAAGAACTGCAACACTGCTGGGTTTTTCACGCGTGTATCAAGAATGGTCCTTCACCCAAAGGACATCCAGCCGACTTGACACAACTGTGGGCAGCATTGGAGTCAATATTGGCCAGCATCCCTGTGGAACGCTTTCGACACCTTGTAGAGTCCATGCCCCGACGAATTAAGGCTGTTCTGAAGTCAAGAGGGGTGCATCTAAATATTAGGAAGGTGTTCCTAATGTTTTACGCACTCAGTGTGTGTGTGTGTGTGTTTAAACAAATGATTTATGCAGTTTGAATATGCCATTTTGTATGTCATGCAGCTTTTGCTTCCTCTCACTGTAGAAGACACAGTTTATATTAACGCCCTTGCCTAGCTGGTGTTAGGAGAAAAGACCCAGTATCTTGATGTCAAACTACAGACGCTAACATGCAAATGAATAGTGTGATATGGGGTGTTCAATTTCTCTGTTGTAAAAAGGAAACAATCTGTATGACGCTACAGGCTTTAAGTTAAAATAATAATTGAGTGCAGTTCCAATGTTTGTTACTCCCACTTACATGTCCTATAACTTTCAGCTGTATTGAATTTTGGATTTTACAAATTGTTATTATTAATGTTTTATGAGAGGATATTGTGATATAAAAATAAATGCTGTAAAATGGCCCTTTTACATTTGTTTTATTATTGTTACATTTGAGTTCCTTTCTTGGAATTTGAGACAACAGACTGCAACCTCAAAATGACTCAACTGTATTTTACATTGTTGAGGAAACAAGAATATGCCTCCTAATTTTGTATTATATTGTCATGTACAGTGACTTCAGAAAGTATTCATACCCCCTGACTTATTCCACATTTTGTTGTGTTACAGCCTGAATTCAAAATTGATGAAAAAAAAAAATGTTTCCCCCCGCCATCTACACACTGCCCCATAATGACAAAGTCAAAATATGTTTTTAGAAATTTGAGCAAATGTATTGAAAATTAAATGCAGAAATATATTGTTAACATATGTATTCACACCCCTGAGTCAATACTTTGTAGAAGCATGGGGAGTGGTGGTGAACAGCAATCTTCGTCTTTCCAAATATGTTTAATGGGATTCAAGTCTGGGCTTTGGCTGGGCCTCTCAAGAACTTTAACATTATTGTTCTGAATCCATTCCAGCGTTGCTTTGGCTGTATGCTTGGCGTCATTGTGCTGTGGAACGTAAATCTTCTCACCAGTCTAAGGTCGTTTGCACTCTGAAGCAGGTTCTCATCAAGGATTTGTATTTGGCTCTATTCATTGTTCCCTTTATCCTTACCTGTCTCGCAGTACCTGCCGCTGAAAAGCATCCCAATAACATGATGCTGCCACCACCATGCTTCACAGTAGGGATGGTGTTAGACGGGTGATGAGCTGTGCCTGGTTTTCTCTAGACATAATGCTTTGCATTCAGGCCAGAGAGTAAAATGTTTGTCTCATCAGACCACAGCATCTTTTGCCTTATGATCTCAGAGTCTTTTACGTGACTTTTTGCATACGCCAGCTGTGCTGTCATGTGCCTTTTTCTCAGGAGATGCCTTCCTACCATATTTTCTAATTTTCCCAATGATGGAGACCAATGTGCTCTTGGAACCTTTCAACACTCTAGAAACTGTTTTATACCCTTCCCCAGATATACAGTTGAATCCGGAAGTTTACATACACTTAGGTTGGAGTCATTAAAACTCATTTTTCAACCACTCCACAAATGACTTGTTAACAAACTATAGTTTTGGCAAGTCGGTTAGGACATCTACTTTGTGCATGACACAAGTCATTTTTCCAACAATTGTTTACAGACAGATTATTTCACTTATAATTCACTGTGTCACAATTCCAGTGGGTCAGAAGTTTACATACACTAAGTTCACTGTGCCTTTAAACAGCTTGGAAAATTCCAGAAAATGTCATAGCTTTAAAAGCTTCTGATAGGCTAATTGACATCATTTGAGTCAATTGGAGGTGTACCTGTGGATGTATTTCAAGGCCTACCTTCAAACTCAGTGCCTCTTTGCTTGACATCATGGGAAAATCAAAAGAAATCAGCCAAAGAAATTGTAGACCTCCACAAGTCTGGTTCATCCTTGGGAGCAATTTCCAAACGCCTGAAGGTACCACGTTCATCTGTACAAACAATAGTACGCAAGTATAAACACCATGGGACCATGCAGCCGTCATACCGCTCAGGAAGGAGACGCGTTCTGTCTCCTAGAGATGAACGTACTTTGGTGCGAAAATGTGCAAATCAATCCCAGAACAACAGCAAAGGACCTTGTGAAGATGCTGGAGGAAACAGGTACAAAAGTATCTATATCCACAGTAAAACGAGTCCTATATCGACATAATCTGAAAGGCCGCTCAGCAAGGAAGAAGCCACTGCTCCAAAACTGCCATAAAAAAGCCAGAATACGGTTTGCAACTGCACATGGGGACAAATATCGTACTTTTTGGAGAAATGTCCCTCTGGTCTGATGAAACAAAAATAGAACTGTTTGGCCATAATGATCCATCGTTATGTTTGGAGGAAAAAGGGGTTGGCTTGCAAGCCGAAGAACACCATCCCAACCGTGAAGCACGGGGGTGGCAGCATCATACTGTGGGGGTGCTTTGCTTCAGGAGGGACTGGTGCACTTCACAAAATAGATGGCATCATGAGGAAGGGAAATTATGTGGATATATTGAAGCAACATCTCAAGACATCAGTCAGGAAGATAAAGCTTGGTCACAAATGGTTCTTCCAAATGGACAATGACCCCAAGCATACTTCCAAAGTTGTGGCAAAATGGCTTATGGACAACAAAGTCAAGGTATTGGAGTGGCCATCACAAAGCCCTGACCTCAATCCTATAGAAAATGTGTGGGCAGAACTGAAAAAGCATGTGTGAGCAAGGAGGCCTACAAACCTGACTCAGTTACACCAGCTCTGTCAGGAGGAATGGGCCAAAATTCACACAACTTGCTGTGGGAAGCTTGTGGAAGGCCACCAGAAACGTTTGACCTAAGTTAAACAATTTTAAAGGCAATGCTACCAAATACTAATTGAGTGTATGTAAACTTCTGACCCACTGGGAATGTGATGAAAGAAATAAAAGCTGAAATAAATCATTCTCTCTACTATTATTCTGACATTTCACATTCTTAAAATGAAGTGGTGATCCTAACTGACCTAAAACAGGGAATATTTAGTAGGATTAAATGTCAGGAATAGTGAAAAACTGAGTTTAAATGTATTTGGCTAAGGTGCATGTAAACTTCCGACTTCAACTGTATGCCTCATCACAATTCTATCTCAGAGATCTACAGACAGTTCCTTGGACTTCATGGTATAGTTTCTGCTCTGACATCCACTGTCAACTGTGGGACCTTATCAGTGGCAATTTTAGCATGTAAATCTTGGTGGGGCAACAACAACAAAAAAGATGTGGGATGCATGCCACAACACTAAACAATACATTAATTGCACTATAACGGTGACAAACGGTGCCCACAAACTGTTACGCCTACATAAAGCTGTCCCAACAGCAGAGTCCCAACAGCAGTCCCAACATCTTACCACTGCTACACCTGGCTATCAGCGGAGCCTTGTCTGGCAGCGAAACAGTTCATTCAGCCTCATTTACTGCCTTTTTTAAAAACATAGCTGATATGGCTGACTTGCTTAAACAATTGAGATGTACAAACTATGTTATAAGGGGACGACAAGCGGATAAGAGGCAATCCGTAATTTTGATTAAGACATTAATGAGCGAGCTATTATTATTATTATTATTATTATTATAATGAGCGAGCTAGGACGGATGTAGTCAATATAACTATTTGTTCAGCACTTTTGAAATGTACAGCGACAGAATTCAGAACATGGGCCGTTCTTACAGTGTTCTCCCTGTACACCAAGTCAGAACCGTAGGATAAATAAAGGGGACATATACAGTGCCTTGCAAAAGTATTCATCCCCCTTGGTGTTTTTCCTATTTTGTTGCATTACATCCTGTAATTTAAATGGATTTTTATTTGGATTTCATGTAATGGACATACACAAAATAATCCAAATTTGTGAAGTGAAATGAATAAAATAACTTATTTCAAAAAATAAATAACGGAAAAGTGGTGCGTGCATATGTATTCACCCCCTTTGCTATGAAGCCCCTAAATAAGATCTGGTGCAACCAATTACCTTCAGAAGTCACATAATTAGTTCAATAAAGTCCACCTGTGTGCAAGTGTCACATGATCTGTCACATGATCTCAGTATATATACACCTGTTCTGAAAGGCCCCAGAGTCTGCAACACCACTAAGCAAGCAGCACCACCAAGCAAGCGGCACCATGAAGACCAAGGAGCGCTCCAAACAGGTCAGGGACAAAGTTGTGGAGAAGTACAGATCAGGGTTGGGTTATAAAAAAATATCAGAAACTTTGAACATCCCACAGAGCACCATTAAATCCATTATTAAAAAATGGAAAGAATATGGCACCACAACAAACCTGCCAAGAGCGGGCCGCCCACCAAAACTCACGGAC